TCAGCTCACAAGATATATTTCACGTGCAGCCCCTGATCCTTGACAAAATGAGAGAATAGCATCGGCCGCCTTGGTCGATATCTGGCCAGAGGCTGCATTGTAGTCCAGAACGGTGTCGATCAAGGCTGCGTCCTTTGAAACAGGATCGTGAACCACGTATTGCCTGACATTCATTCATCTAGATACTCAGTGCAGAAATCCAGTACACACCAGGTGGACGTGTTGGGTTCCAGGAAGGCGTCGACTGAGGGTTTCCAGAGCCTGACTGGGGTACGATTGAAGCGCGTATTCCGTTGCGGTGCGACCGGTCTCTTGCACAGAACGGTCCTAAAGCCTTTGGATACTGAGAGAAGAGATGCGAGCATTGTGTTGGAGGAGTGAAGTCGTGTGGGTTTAGATATTGAAATGCAGAGGAACTCGGTTATTTATTGGCATGAGTCGGGGTGATTCGTGTCAGAGAAGGCCGAGAAGCCTCTAGTTCCCTGCCTTCGGGTAACGCACCAGTTATTAGCTTTTATATAGACAAGAGGTGAGAACGCATGCAGAATTTAAGCAGCACCGATGTACGGTAGGCTAAAGATCAATATCAAGTCACGGATCAAGGCACTGCCACATCTCAGGTGGCGTAAGTAACCGAAATCGCCATTTTCGGTCATATCCGTCCTCACGTGCTGGCTGAGAAATCGTCCGCTTAGGGATCGGCACTGGTGAATTTTGTCTCGTTTCGGCTGCAAGTCCGATGTTGACCAGGTCTGCAACAGATTGGTTATTCTCAGTGCCCTTCTATTGAAAATAATAGCTCGGTCCATATTCTGCATTCGAAAACTCTATCTTCTTCCGATGCGAATATTTCTATCTTATCTGAGGACTTGAACAATGCCTTCTGGGAAACTTTGAGGGTGGATGTTGAGGAGGATCGAAAATAGAGTGTTTCCCTGCTGAGTATGCAATACTTGGCCAAATGTGGTGCACAGTTTCGGGCATCCTGCAAGCAGCTAGTCAATCAAATGGGTGTTGGCCCCAAACAGCAGCAGCAAAATCAACTGAGGGCTCTGGGTAAGCGTCCGGAGCCCGCGCCTGTGCGTCCGCATCCGGATCGGAACATCGGACCCGAGAGTAGTACGTCCGCATGCCAGATTGGAGATGCAGATATCATCCGCATACGGAACAAGCACTTAGTTAGAGCCCACTTTGGGATCAACTCTGTCCGTATCGGGATCGGGGGTCCGAAGTCATATGCCACAGCCACTTCTCTGTAATGATTAACCACGTGCCCTATTCCGTCACGTGCGACAGACTCGACGCGTGCATCCGCTCATTGGTCTTGTGCCAAGCACTCAGACCACATAATGCCTGACCGTTCAGGTTACGAACCGCTGTCTGCCTCTGATTCCAATGCTCTTGACGAAGATGGCGACACCTCACCCGACGCCCCACCTGCACGCGGCCGTCCCCGGCGAGCAAGGATGGGCTCAGTCGACCTGTCTGGCCTCGACACTGCGTTCAAGCAATGGACCGCCACTATAGCCTCGAAGCTCAAGCTTCAGAACAAGAAGACCAAGAGTGGGCCATCGAAGCGCCAGATATACCAGAGCGTCTTCGAGCCCACCGTCGCTGATCCTGACACGGAGTCCGAGCAACCAGTCAAGACCTTGGATCACAAGGAGCCCATGACGCAAGCCGAGTTCAACGCGTGTGTAACCTGCTTCATCCTCTGTTCCGAGCCAACAATGCCCCAGATTAGTGCAGAGCGTCAAGAGTACGCTCCTAACACGAGTTTGATTATGCGGAACTAACCTTCTCAGGCGCGATTGGAGAAGGGATACATCCGAAGATGATCGTTAAAGGGTCCTCCGGATCTTACTTTGCTCGAGCCAAGAATGCCGCCGACGGTCGTGTGCATACTGTTGCGTGCGTAACAATCCTAGACGGCTGTTACCAACGGTTCTTACATCACAGAACAGGGTATTCAAGCCTAAAGACGAAGAACCCTATGGTCGCCTTAATCCGAAGACGACCAAATGGCTCCACAGGCAACTGAGATGGATCATTCCCTTCGGACGTGCTTGTTTAATTCCAACCTGTCGTACATCAGGTCCGTCTGCGTCAGCCACGCACATTTGCACGACTGAGCCTTGCCCAGTGAAGGTGATGGCGTTCTTAATTATCGTGCAAGTCAAACAAACATCTCATAGCGGCGGCTTCTCTCTTGGACACTCGCCTACAGCTGAACATCGTGCCTCCAACACAGCTCGCTTCCCTGTCTAGCCCCGCCTTCTTCTATGATTGGCTGGATCGCAGTGCTGCCAAGAAGGGCAAACCGCTGCCAGACAAGATTGGCAGCATGCAATTCTTTCTCACCGGGTACCAGGGTGAGTGCATGCCAGCGTCTTCGCCCATTTGTGTTCTCAAAGGTGGGATTCCTAGACGCTTCTGAATTCTTGCGCAAACATCCATGGCCTGGTCGATCAATCGCCGACACATTTGATGACTCTACACATCGAACGAGCAACCTGTCGAAGCGATTTACTGGAGCGTTGTCCGTCGTGTGCGGAAAGACAGGGGACGCTGACGACGATCTGTACGATGAACCGGATTACGAGGAGGAACGGTTGTTCGATGTTTCCGAGGCGGGCGACTCTCGGCCGTTTTATTGGAGTCAGGCGCTCCAGGCAGGGTTCCGGGAGGAACTCGAGAAGTGCGTAGTTTTGCCGTGCGTTATCGATAGCTTGAACTCCTGTTAGGCTCGTCATTCTCGACTACCTGATGTTGAACACCGACCGAGGTTCGTTGCAGCAGTCGCAGATCCGCAGTATCTCATGTTTTATCAGGCGCAGACAATTACATGATCAAATACTGCGAGGCTGAGCACGAAAAGTCGTTGGTGGATGTTGCCCCGTCTCGAGATGCACGGCCCCAAATGCCGACTATGAGCCAGCTTCGCCAGGACGGATCCCCACAAGTGCATTTTTCGCCCTCAAACTCGTCGATGGGACCTTCGGCTTCGGCGAGCAGTATACCAGGCGCCCCGCTTGATTATACCCGACGGCCTCATATCCACATCGCTGCTATAGATAACTCTCTGTCCTTTCCCCATGAGCACCCTCAAGGGTGGAGAAACTACACTTATGGCCCGTCTACTGTCTTTTCTTATCTTCGACTATTCTGACCTTCATCTTAGGCTGGCGTGAGTGTTGGTCCTTGTGGTCTGCTCTCGACTTGAACCTTATTTGCAGTGTATCTTCCGGTCAGCGTTATCGGCCGACCTTTCAGTGACAAGACTCGCAAGCATTTCTTGCCACTTCTGACCTCAACAGAATGGTGGGAGGAGACGACGTTCCAGCTGCTCAAAATCTTCAGCGTGGACCCGGACTTCCATCCGAAGATGTTTGCTGTAGGATGCTTCCCTTTAGTGTGTCAAGGACTGTCTCACTGACGATATGCATCATCCATCTAGCGTCAATTGGCTGTTATTAAAGGTGTCATGGGGCTCATCCTTTCCGGCATTCTTACTCAATCGCATTGCAGGCCAAGCTTGGAATATTGTGCAGTGCCTTAGACACGACGTAAGTGTCAAGCACCCAGAAGTCTGGTGGTGTACTGACTGATCGACAGGACGAAGGTTGTTGCTATGCCTTTGTCTGTGCTCATGCAATTAATTTATTGGGACCAGGCCCACTGGAGCTGACCCGGCGAAGTAAAGTTCTTGTTTGGGACGATGAAATAGAAATCGACGACGACGAACGGACGGAAATAAGACCGGCGCCTTCCTCGCCTAGACTTTCGATCGCGAGCGTGCCTCTCCCCCGGCGAACGAGAAGCCGGAGTTCGGGAAGCGAGTTCCCTCCACCTATGATGCATCGCATGTCGTCGGAAGCGTCCGGCGTTCCTCGACCGGTGCCCTTCTCAGCCAGGTTCAAACGCGTCCACCCGGGAACACAAGGGATCCTCGTGCTGGAGCACCTGGAGCGTTTGGACGCCGTCGAGGCCAGCTTGCGCGACCTCGGGGTCGACGAATCCGAGGAAGTCGACGTCGGGGAATCATCGAGCACTCCAGTTGCCCATCCTTCTCTCCCTGTCCCAACTTCGCCGTTCTCGCCGCCGTCAAGCCCGCCGCTTCCAACGGTACCCGAAACGGCGTCTTCGGACGAGGACGAAGAGGAAGATGTTGCTATGCTGTCCAAGTCAATGACTGCCGCCGAGGGCCATCAGCGCTGGGGAAGCCACATGCCAGCCACACCGGAGTGGATACATCCGGGTGTATCTGCCAAGCGCACAGTTGTGGTTGAGGTGCGTCCAGATCGGTATTGTTCGCGGCTCGCCCTGACGAATCATGCAGCGCCTCGAGACTGTATCACGGAAACCGCTATGCAGTTGTTGGTAGCATGTAGATAATGAATACACTAATCGCCTTCCGACAGTAACCACTGCGCAAAACTGTCCAGCCGAGCTTTTTCTGCCTCATCACTGTCGCCAATAATGTCATCGCCAGTACCACTGCGCTGGAACCGCTGTTGGCCATCGAACAAAGAAGCCTCCACCCTCAGTCCGTCGAAAAAACGTCCGTTCATTTTCTGCTAGGCTTGAGACAGGTCCAGGCGTGGTACATCTGCGAGACTCACCAGCACACAAGCTTGAGCACTAAGGGGATCCCGAAACTTCACCGTCATTACACCCTCGGGTTCTTTCTGTGGCAACGGTCAGTCCTCTCTCAGCAATACATCTGGGGCGAGACGCACATCATACAAAACAACATTCGTTACTTCGCCCAAGAGAGAGCACTCTTCCCGAACGTCCTCCTTGAGATCAAGCAGCAGCGATGCATCATCCTCCAACCCTTTGAGCGTAAACATGTGCTTCAGGACGACAACCCGGCTGTTCTTGTTTGCGGCCTTTGAGTTGTCTTCTGGTGCCATGGATGGGCCAAAGCCATCCTCTTCGTCCCATTCCTCCAATTTCCTTAGTTTGATGATCAGTAAAGGCACCCACGGACAACGGTTGAGTCTCACTTCTGCATTTTACCAATCCGTCGGGTAGCTCTCTTCTTGTCTACTGTTTTGCGAGGCGCAGATGCTGTGCCGTTGGACGTGGCCTTGTGGGCGAAGTCTGCTTTGGCCACCTGCATGACGGTGGATCCGTCTCCGATCCTGAGTTCCGCATCGTCCAGGATGCTGACGGCCAGGAACACCGAATCTTCCTTGAAATAGACCACCAGAGCTTCTCCGCTGAAGCTGCCATCGTCTTTGGCGTACATTTTCACCTTAGGTTCGCCCTGGTCGTCCTCTTCGATCACCCCGCATTTCGAAAAGCGTTCCAAGATTTCATCCATCTCCGCGTCCAAGGGTAGTCCCTTGACATAGACCGCCGTGTTTTTCGATTTGCGCTCTTTCTCAGGTTTGCCGCGCTTGGTGGATGGTCCCGCTTGGGGCGTCGCGGACGTGTAGTCTTCAGGCTGCTTGCGCTTCTTGTTTTCGCGCGCGGCGACGGGTGCTGCTGGGGCCTGCAAGATACGCATTCATTGAGCGCTCGTCCTTGCGGTCGCGAAGGGCACCCGCACCTCTTCATCGACGCCTGCCACAGAGTACGCAGCTTGTTGTTGCTGGAGTAGTTCCTCTCCCAACTGATGATCCCTGGTGAACGAACGTGAAGGCGCGTGAGAACAACACGTACTAGTGGGAACCATTTCCCCTTCACAGTGTCGTATTCCATCTCCGTTCCATCGGTTTCCTCATATCGCCAAGTGTTCGTACTTTTCTCCAGGTAAATTCTGAGGTTCTCCATCAATGCCGCCCAATAAAGTCGCGTTCAGTACTTACCGCTCATCACTCGCGAACGCCTCCGAGAGTGCCTGCTCAGATGAGCCTGAGGCGGCGGGTGGTGGTACAGACGACATGAATGACTGAATCAAGTTAGTGGTTTGAGTCAAGTGTGCCAATCATGACACAGTACACACGCCGAAATGTATACAGTATGTCGACTGAGGTCGCTACAGGGTTCCCGCAACTAGATGCATTTCGACTTTCTACGTAGTGTCTATTTATAAAGCGACATGGGGAAGTAACCATGAGGATCGTGCGGGGCGTTCGGCGCAACCTCGTAATGCCAGCGCTTGCGAGAGGTGGGTAAAGTCGGAGGCAAGTTCGACGTGGAGAAGACCTTGATATCCTTGGCAATGGACGCGATGGCTACGGAAAGGTCGACTGGTTTCGATTCAGCAGGGACACCCTTGTTCTCCTCCGTCGGGGCAGCCACTCTGTGGATGTAGTTGGTCAGTCAGGCACGTCCGAGAACATTGACGCGCACGATTTGGCCGCGGAGTGCTCGATAAGCAGAGCAGACAGTTCGGACTGGGTCACCACCGAAAGTTGAGGATATTGCCGGCGCACATCGCGTTTCCAGTACGGATTTTGTGCTGGGTCGGAGGCTACACGGGGTTCGGATGAGCCCTGGTAGTGAATAATCTATTCAAAAGCATGTACCCTTGGTCGCCGGAGTTGAGTACTTTTCCGGTCGGGAGGCGGGAGGAGGGAAACGATGGACGTCAGGTAGAGGCAGCCCGCTGGAGATCTCGGGGTCAACGGCAACAACGTCGCCTGGACCACCATTAGCAGAGAGCAGCGGGTATAGCGTCGAAGGACGCACGGAATTTCTTCCAAAATCCCTTTGGGGACAAGTGGTAGAGAGTGGATTCGGCGGATTTCGCAACCCGAGCCGCCATGGCAAGTATTGGAACTGAAGTGATGGGTGTTTGTGGATGCTGTGCAATGATATGTCATCACGTAGTTCTTATTTACGTAACCGCAGCCTGGAACCTATATGCACTTGCGAGCAGGACTGCGAAAGTTTGACGGCACATGTCCAGGGATGTCATATGTCTGGCTCGCGCGTGCTTGATTTTTGAGCACGTAGAAATTCCTCGTTTCGCTTTTGCGCCCTCGGATACAAGATAGTGCCGAAAAGTGCCGCCCAGTATTGAGGGCGGCTCAGTTCTCTGCAGTCTTCCCCGTCGGTGTTCTCAAAGGCACACTGGGGGCACTCAAGCCTGCACAGGAGATTGGAAGCCGCGGATTAACTTTGAAACGTCGCTCGCGACGGCGGGGACGGCGGCCGGCCATCTCACAGATTCTCATGCTGGCCGGATTCGAATGTGCACCAGACTCCAAAGTGGCTGAAAATGAGGCAGAGGCCACGCGGTGTGGTGATCCAGATGGAAATGCGAGCTAGTGACATGGTATGCTATACAAAGAACGAGTTATTCTGGAATGAATTGGGTCTGACATCATCCCATTAGATTTTTCAAGGCTTGAGACGGCCACTGGCGCAGGAGCGCGTTCAGGAATCCAACGTCATCTGACTGACATGGACGATGTCCTTTCAGGGACAACCATGACTGCGACTCGGGCTTGGACGGCGGTGGTCGATCGGTAGCCGGGCGCATCTAAAGCGGATCCAGAATTCGGAATGTGGCACGCGAGGTCGGAATGTTCCGAATCCGAGAAGAGGGTAATTCGTTTGCGGAAGCGCCAAGCGAAGACTCGCCTAGAACCTGGAAATGATCAGGTGCTTGATCATGTAGGATGTCGTCGCGATGCTCTGCGCTCGCATGTTGCTCGCATGTTTCTCGCACGATCCATCTCGTATGTAGGCGCTAGTTGGCTGGCTGAATGGAGCACGGAGGCACAGTCAATTGAAAAGCGCATGTGACACAGATACATCCGAATGGGTCGTCACGAGACACTATGTTTCCACAAAGCGACAGATCTGCTCTAGCAAGTGCGGCAGACGAGAAGAACAAGCGCAGCGATGGTTGTGAAACAAGGCCAGTTTGCCGTCCGCATTGCGAAACCTCTGCGAAGCGACAGGTAGCGAGTCAAAAAGAAGTCAGAAAGTTGTTGAGGGAACCAAAAAGATGGGAGATGCCAAAGATCGTTGATATTCGATTGGCAAGTGTGGGAACATTATCTGATTGGAAATCCTGGCTGAAAGTGTAAGCGAAAAAAAAAGCTCCTAGCAGCTCAGAATCCGACAGCAGCGGTGGCATTGCACTTGCTTGGAGAGTCTCAAATACAAAAATACCCCTTCTTTTCGAAAGGAGAGCTGACAAGTCCACCACCAAAGCTTCCGTGAGTAGGGAAGAATCGAGATCGCGGCATCACGGACTGCCCGGTCCGTGCCTTATTTGCTCCAAACCTGCTTGACCAACTGATTGGTGCCTTGACTTCATACTCTTCAGAGCAAACAGCCTGCCGCCTCCGAGCTGCATCTCATCTTCACCGTCAGCGCTGTTATTGAGCCGACTCCGTTGCTCGAGCCGTGAATGTCCTCGCGCACCTCCTTCCCAACCCGGGCTATTCCGTGGTCATCGTCAGGTTCACATCGGCAAGCTCCGTTGGCCCCGCCGTCGCTCGCACTCGACTTTACAACCCCCCTCGATGACGATGCATTTGCTGCCTTGACCGCCAGTGGCATGATTCCTGCCGCTGGCAGTCTTCCTACCTACCCGCAATACCCTCGCCCCAATGTTGTGATCCAACCCTCGTCGCAATGGCCTGCTCAGTACCCACCCTTTCCCCGACCTAGTGTGCCCCGTGCGACTGCTCCCCAATTTCCGGGGTCCAATCGCTATGACGGTCGCTCGGATGGTCGTCTAGATGGACGACATGAAACTCGAGTCGACACGCGCATCGATACCTTCGCTTATGACCGGTCTAATCCACCGCTTCCCCCGTCTCTTTGGATGTCGCCCGTCAGCTCACACCCAGCTACGCCCTCCTTGGAGAACCCTCCGGATTCTGCTCTCTCCCCCATCTCCCCCATTGGCTCTAAAAGCCCCCAGTTCACTGATATATTCGACGATATGCTCTCCCAACCAGCGCCGACACCTCCGCCCCGAGTATCGGGCTCCCCAGAACTGGGCGCTATCCAACGAGATAGCGCGGAAAGCCCGGTAACCAAGATGTGGAAATTGTATAATCACCACCAGGCGGCTGCCCCCCACGCCCAGCGCATGGAGAACATCACATGGAGAATGATGACCATGAAGCTGAAGAAAGACAAGGATCCGACAGCGGCGACCGATTCCGTCACGGATACTCCCAGCCCTTCAACGGAAGCCTCTATCAAGACGGAATCAACTACTCTTGAGCGAGCGCTCGAGGATCGAGGTCGAAGGATCGACAAGGGGAAGGCGAAAGTACAAGTGGTAGGATTTGACGGGCTGAACCAGGATGGGGTGGATGACGACGAGTAGGCCTTTGCTTCTTATACGTACTAGCCTCCCTTCTCACTTGCCCCCCTTCTTGCCCTTAGCGCTGCCCCCATGGACTGGCGAGCGATGAGCCGGTCGCGCTCCCGGACGATGGACTGGACGCCGGCGAGCAGGTCCCGTTCACGTGTAGGACTGGAGCCGTTTGATCGCTCGCATCATCAGCCTCCGTACGACAGCCGACTAGCATTTCCTGCGTACTCCGACAGGTCGCGAATGCCTGGGGGGATTCACCTCCCAGGGTCATCGATCCCTGTGCCGGGTCGACGGAGTCCCCCGCACGGATTTGCGCACGAGCTCTCGTCTGTGTTCGAGGACCCGCACTCTGACGGCCTGGACCCTTCCTCCGCTCTCGAAGCACGCTATTTGCAGCACTCGCTGCCTTACAATCACCCAATCTCCAACCTCAGTAGCCCCACCTTCGGCCCGTCGTCCCTTCCCTCGTTTGGGCTCCACGGGCTGCCCCGTATGCCGTCCGCCATTCGATCGCCGGATCAGCGTGGCTTTCCACGACACGTCCGCAAGACCAGCTTTGACCACACTGTTTCCAAAGAAGGCATCTTTGCTGCGGTGGGTGGGCGCCACCAGCTGAACGGGAAACCGCTCTCCCCTGATGGCACAATCGGCACCAAGCGCCGGGCGGAGAACGTCCACGATGAGACTCTTCTCCGGGCTGATCCGTCCAATATTGATGGAACGTCACCGACCATGTCACACGATGAACCGTTCGAATCGGGTTCTTTCCCGTCCAGTTCCTTCAACTTCACCTATCCGCCTTACGATGGCATTTTCTCTCCATCTGGGCGGCAGCAGGGCGGGCCCTCTAGTGACGGCCTCTCTGCGGCGGCCGCAGCCGCCTCTGCAGCCATGGCCGAGAGCTATGCCCAAGTCACTGCAACCAATCTGGCTGACGATGGGACCCTCGATTACAGACATCTAATGGGATTGGTGTATCCTGATCCGAGCCGCTCAGGAATGGTCCAGAGTCCATACACTCACGTTGACCCAACACAAATCCTGTCAGGTCCGGAGGGCGGTTATCCCAGCCTTCATGCTAGTCCATCCAGTGATGGTTGGAACAATCTGGGCTCAAGTAACCATGCTTCGCCAGAGTCCCACAACGTCTCCAACGCGTCCACACCTCCATCTATAGAGGGACCTCCACCTTTGGCCTCACGGTCCAACGGTCGCAAATACATTCCTCTCAAGGCTCCGGCGCAGGATACCCACTCTCGCAAGCAATCCGGCTCAGCCACATCACCGACTCTCGGGAACGTGCGATCCTCTGCTAGCACGCCAGACTTCAGTGAACGGAAACCAGGCTCTGCTGGTGACGATTCAGACGTCCCAACGTTATGCACGAATTGTCACACAACCAACACACCGTTGTGGCGACGGGATCCTGAGGGACAGCCTCTGTGTAAGCCCCAGTCTCTGTTCTGTGTCTGACACTGACGAAATTTCAGGCAACGCTTGTGGCCTATTCTACGTGTGTATCCCCTACAATGTTTCCAGCACTTGCTCACATTCTTGTGCAGAAGCTCCATGGAGTGGTTCGCCCCCTTTCCTTGAAGACAGATGTCATCAAGAAGCGGTGAGTTGTTTTTATGCTATGGTTCGCAGGGTTACATGTCCTGAACCCATGCAGTAACCGGGCTTCGGGTGCCCCGAGCAGTGCGTCGCGCAAATCAGGTTCTAGTGGCTTGCCCAAGATTGCAGCAACAACGACACGTCCCCGTTCTTCCTCCAATTCCGCCGGCGTCAGTGCAGCCAATCGTGCAGGCACTGGCGCAGCTGTTAAACGGCAGCGACGGACTTCCACTTCTCAGCAAGGTCCTGCCTCACATTAAGGGTCTTATCTATGCCTTTCTTAAGTATCTAGAAGATAGTTTTATATATCTAGGACCACATCTTCTCTGTTTTCACGAGTGTTGTAGAGTGTACTAGTACGAATAATGACCCGCATTCGAAGATCGCTGTTGTCATTATTGTTCCATCGCGTGATAGATATCCAATTCGCCCTGATTTCGTTCTCTACCCCCAACTCTGGCTTCACGACTCGGACCAGCGAGGCGCGTGGCGGCCTCCGACGCGTCGCCATCGTCCTCTCAACGTCTATCACGAACAGAAGACGACTTCGAGAAAGCGCTCGCATCAGAAAGCACGACTGTCCTGAAACCTTTCGACAATCAACTAGCCTATCCGGACTCCCCTCTCCCCTTCGATTCATCGAAACACCCTGGAACGCCCACAGTCATTCCAGCAACGCCATCGCCTATGCAAGGCGGCTCAAGCTCTAGGAGAATGCTGGACGCGTCACCGACGAGATCCAGCGAAGAATTATTCTATGACGCTGAAGAACCGCACAACGATTCCAACCGAGAGAGAGAACCGACTAACAGGCGGTCGATGTATCGTGCACAGGGGACTTCTAGCTCCCCTGACCTCGCTACACTCCTGCGTAAGGCCAAGGAGCGCGGAGGCGTAGTCCCACCGGGTGTGAAAAATACCCTGGATCGACGAAGATTTGAAGAGCCGCCTCCACTACCTAATTCATTCGTGTCGCCATCGAAGGGTAAGAACAAGTTGCAAAGGACACCCACGAATGGAGAGGGTCCGGACAAGGTGCATGTGGTTCGATCTAGGCCTTGAATGGTAGCACTCATTCCGTCCATCCCAGCCTGCTAAGTCATCCGTGCGTGCCAAAACGAGTGCGTTTCTCGGGAAGATGTTGGGGCAGGGCACAGTCCGCGAGCGATCGGTGCGAGACATCTTTCACGAGCTGATTGACTGCCGCCGCTCACTCGAGACATTGACATAGAAAACTGTAGACGACGGGGTCTATTCGCCCCAAGCGCCATATACCCCACCTGTGCCACGTCTTACAGCGCAATCTTCGCGAACGCCAGTCGGTTCCCCCATCGCCGACGTTTTCTCTAGCTCCTCTCGCACTGCACCAAATACCACGAAGCCGCTGCCAAGTATGCCGCACCGGGAAAACAGCGATGACGAATCCCTTGTTATTATTGAGAAGGATTCTCTGCAGTCTCCGTCTCCCGCTGCCGCTGCCGTGGCCCAACTCGCCTCGAATGCGACCATCACCCCTGGCTCACGCCAACGACGGAGCATGAGTGTCAGCGAAGTAGATGTGAAGAAACTAGTCAACACATCGGCACGGAGGAATGAACCGCTGGATGAGGGTATCAACGGGCTCCTAGACGACTTCGAAGGCCAGTTATCCAAGCTGGCGCCTGCTGCAAACTTTGACCTCAGCGACCCATCCTCGCCTACGCCCGCTGCTCGTCGAACGAGCATGCCTCAGCGAGCCAAGACTGAGCCTGCCAGACCGACTGCTCCGCTCCTGACGCTCCAATTACCCCAGTCGGATACAGAGGCCGACGATGCCGATGCGATTGTGCCTCCTCGAACGACTTCTCTCCAGATGCCGTCCCGGGCTTTGACAAGTCCTCGGATGGGCGGGAGACAAAGGGCCAGCCCACTACGTACTAGAAGCGGGCAATCCTTTGGCGCATCACCAGGTGGGGACGGCGGGAGGGGTTCAGGCCATCTGCGCATCCTGCATGGCTCCAGCGCGTCTGTCTCAGAGCCTTCGCTGATTCCTGTGGGAGATAATGGCCGGGCATGTGCGTAATGTTTGGAACAGACGGTTGCCTCGTGCTCATTCTCCACAGTCGGTCCTTTGTATCGGACGTCACAGCAGGATCTGTCGATCAACGACCTCACTCTCACTCGCGCGTCGACACCCAGCCACTCTCCTTCAAGGGGCGAAGACTCGGAGGAAATGGACGCTCGGGGCAAGGAACTCGCAACACGATGTTGGAACGAGGACGAAGACTTTTTGGGCAAGGAGAAGATTGCCGAGTGGCTGGGCGGGGTGTGAGTCGCTTTTCGCTCGTTCCCGATTCTGGCTAATCCTCGCATGTAGTGCCAGTATCAACAAGGTCGCGCTGTACCATTACCTCGATTTTTTCGATTTTTCAGGTCTGCGCCTCGATATGGCTTTCCGGTGAGTGTCAGCTTCACACGTTTCGAGAGGTCGCTGAGCCCGAAGGTAGTCGTTTGTGCGCGAAGCTTTTTCTCAAGGCCGAGACGCAGCAGGTGGATCGGATTCTTGAACAATTCAGCAGACGGTATTGGGAGTGCAATCCTGGTGGAGCTTATGGCAGCGCAAGTACGTTGGACATTTCAGCATCTCGGGACTGAATTCAGACGCCAATCGTGCATAGATATCGTCCATGCGGTCTCCTACTCCCTTTTGCTACTGAACACTGACCTGCACGTGGCGGATCTCGCCACCCGCATGTCGAGGAGTCAATTTGTCCGCAACACGTTGACTGCGATTCAGATGCAGCTACAAACGATCTCCATTCGACCTTCGATAACGGACCAAGACTCGATCAGTCTGCGAGGCGGACGGACGGAGAGTATGGACTCGACACCTCCAGCGACGATGCGTTCGAAGCGGAGCGACAGCATCACGAGTTGGCACAGTGTGTCCAAGGACGCGCTTGCTGCTGTCGCGGCGATGAACGACCCGGCGGCGAATGGAAGCACGCCCTCTGTGCATGTTTCGGCATCTGGCCATGAGGCCCGTTCATCCGTGTCGAGCATAGTGTATGGCCGTGGATGGGAGATGGAGATGGAGAATCTGCTCAAGGTGTGTGTCGTTTCGTCTGCCTGCAGAAGGATGTTTGCGACGCGGAGTCTATAGGAGATGTACAATGCGGTCAAGAGCCAGCAGATCCTGCAGCCTCTGAACACGAGTCGGTCTTCTGTCGGCACGCCCGGGCTTGGACCTGGAACGATGCTCAGGAATCGGAGCCAACGAGGGCCTCCAGATAGGCTGGCGACGTTGAAGCGTGGGAGCATCCGGGGACTGCAGTCGATACTAGGAGCGCAAGGAAACAGTCCCTATAGCAGCAACAGCAGCATCGATGGGCGGAGCAGTCCGTCGCCCAGTTTTGCAACATCGACACATGAGGTGCGCTTGTTGAATTCTGTCTGCGCGAGCTGACGCCCGGCTAGAACATGTACAATTCGAGCTCCTCGTTCTTGACGCCGACGCTGGGTTTCGCGTCGAATCTATCGCACACTATCATCAAAGAGGCGCAGGAAGACGATGACCGCAGCGAGCATAGCGATGACTCGACGTCGACGAGCATCAGCATCAGCGATGCCGAGCTTGCGTTGCTCGGTGCACCTTGGGCCAAGGAAGGCATGCTGTGCCGAAAACAATACTGGGAGAGCGTCGGCAAGCGCTCCAAGGACAAATCGTGGCTGGACGTGTTCGTTGTCATCCAGCGGGGAGAGCTGAATATGTTCACCTTTGGGGACAACAGTCCTGGGTCGTCTGGGGCATTTGGCGGGGGAAACTGGCTGGTGAGTTTGCTACTGACTACAGTTTGGTGCCGCTGACGGGGTTTACCAGTCCAATGCCAGAGCAGTCGGGACTGTGTTGCTCGCTCATTCTCTTGCGCATGCCCTTCCGTCTCCTGGTTACAACCGACAGCGGCCGTATTGTATGGTGCTCACTCTAGCTAATGGCGGCGTGTACTTTTTCCAGGCCGGCACTGAGGAGCTCGTGAACGAGTGGGTCTCGACCTGCAATTACTGGGCTGCCCGCACAAGCAAAGAGCCGCTGGCTGGGGGAGTATCCAACATGGAATATGGCTGGAATCGGCTGGACGACTCGTCCCATAGTCAGTCTGAGACCGACGTGCCGACCGACCGGTCGGATGTCATGAGCGTTCGTAGCACCCGGAGCACGCGCAGCAAGTTTGGATATTCGGGCACGATGCGGGCCTCGCCGTGGGCGGACCGGACGGCCATCAACGACTGGAAGCCACCGATGCCACCGACAGTGTCCAGCCCGCATGACGAGGAGACGCAGCTGGAGGCGTTGCGCAAGCACGTGGCATCAATGAAGCGGGAACTCAAGCAGCACAACGAATACCGCGAGCCGATGGCTGCTCTTGTAAGTGGCGTGTCCTCGCTGTTGTTCGTGTTGCTCACGTGTCGGCAGTATCAACCACGGAGTGCGAACGCTATCAAGGCACAGAACAACTGGGAGAAGAAGTCGCAGTACCTGCTGACAGAGATTGTCAAATACGACTCGTACATCGACTCTCTGCAGTCAGCCATCTCGCTTCGACATGTGAAACGGGGAGAAAAAGGTGCGTGCTTCAGTCCGCGTGCTGTGGCGCATCACTGATCACGGCCGCCGCGCAGCCCTTGAGCGGGCTCTCAACGGTCAGTCCGCGGACGACAATCTGCGCAAAGGCCGGCTCGGGCTGGAAGATACCATCGCCGAAGCCGAGGAACCGCCGACACCAGCCAACAAGCTCGCCTTCGGCTCCGTTCATGACGACGACGACTAACTTACATTCTGTGCTATATCTACCCACTACTCTGTGCCGTTTACTTACTTATTGTTTGTGTGTATCATCATCAGCAGGGACCGTATTTCGCGTCCGCAACATGTGCTTCGAGCCCGCTGGCTGACGTCTTGGGTGTGAAAACTGGCGCTGTCAGCCGTCCGCTGTATGCGTGTCTATAAACCAGCACTCACTGGATCCACCCGCGTTTGGGGCATACCACACGGAGCCGACGTCGTTGTTGGCGTCGGTCCCAAAGTGGAATACGGCCGACGACTGCGAGCCCAGGAATCCGCTGTATTTGGAATTCAACGCAGGGCTATTGGCCCGGTCGAGGAAATATTGCAGATGCCTTGTGTGTGTGCGCGCGGTGAGCTTTAAAAGTTGTAGGAACCCAAAAAAAGAACGGACTTGGTCCACAGCCCTTTGAAAAGTTGCTGTCGAGATCAAGCGTGTGAGCCAGAGTTTGTGGAGAAATAGGTCCACAGACCTGGTCTGCATCGCAGACGCTGCCCCCCGCGGCAGCGTTGTCGCAGGTCTCCTTGAGGATGTTGTTCTCGCTCAAATGCGCGATCGTCGCATCGAGTGTGATCTGCGCTTCCGCCAGCAATGTCGTGTTCCCGGTGGCCAGTGCCAGCGAGGAGAGCCCGGATGCGATAACGCCTTGGTTGTACGTCCACGTCGTCTGGCCGTTGTTGACACAAGTGTCCAGCGTCAGCCCGTCATTCCACAGGCCTTGTGAGTTGCGCATGCCGCTTGCGCGTACTGTCCATCAGTGAGCGATGTTGCAGAGAATACACGACAGAGCGCGCACGCCAGTTCCATGTCTTGATGGCATTCGGGAGGAACATGCTCTGGGAGGGGAATCGGATGGCGCCTTCGCTAAGATATGAATGAGACAGAGTGCGGAGAAGATCGCTTTGGAAGACAAACGCAGAAGTCAGGAGGAACAGTTGGTTTGTGATTGCTGTCGACTTGTTTGTCAGTTGTTCATCCGTGAGTTTGAGTTGTACCATTCTTGTAATTGTGTGCGGTGCTCCACCAGACTGTTTGAGAGAGGATCAGCAAAAACAAAGTTGGCAGAAGCTTGCACGATGCACCTCCCCCGCCACAAGCGTTGTCCCATTGACCTGCAAACGTCCATACTGCTCAACACAGCTACTGCAATCAGAGCAACCTACCCGCGATTATGTTGTACACAGTGAGGGCACTGTTCTATCGCAGTCTGAGCATATAGACCACAGACCCAAACAAGAAAAATTACCCAATACGCAGTCGCATCAATCCCCCGCGCAACCTTGTAGTCTGCCATCTTCCACAGGCTGAGCACGATCCACTAGAATGATAAGCAATAGATTAGATTAGATAAAATGAGGCTGAGGCAAATCCAAACCAGCGCATCGTCGTTGGCACCGTTGAAGATGCCCTGCCAGTGCGCCGCGCTAGTATCTTGCGTCGAGCGGCCCAGGAAAGATTGGTCTGCAACCGCCGAGAATTGATCTGTCCCGGTCGCAAGCATCTGTGCGCGGATCAGCCGACACCCGAAGTGGCTCGGCTTGCGGCTTGCGGCTTACGAGATTGTGGAGATCCTCGAGTGTGTTCTGGACAGCAGCCGTCATGACGAGAAGCGGCGCAGAAGAGAAGGAGGGGACATACTGCGTCGGTCCAGAGCGACCCTGGAACAACGATAGTCAGAACTGGGTCGGCCGACGGTGGTTCAGCTGACCTCCGTTGTACATGCCGGACGACGCGTCAAAGTAATGCGCCTGCAGTGTCTCCGCCACAGACTGGAAAATGGTGGGCGTCAGACAGGAGAGCGCCCCATGACTGTGCGCACCATTGCGGTATTCAAGGTCGCGGTGCACTGTCTCTTCTCTAGAGCGGTCGGAGATGCAGCCACAGTGGCTGACAGCAAAAGCCCGGCAACGAGAGAGAGAAGCGGAAGCACCATTTCGAGTAGCTCGAGTCTGATTTGGGTCCCCCATAACAGTCTCGCGATTTATATGCGCAGTGAACACATCTGCCAGTGACGCAATCGTCCCAAATCGACATCTCGACCAGTGAAGTCATATGAAAGTGCGGGAGAAGGATCTTGGATTGATGACTTGGAGAATGTGCGGTTGAGCGCCGGCCATGAAGTATTCTGTTCAAGCAGGGGACAGAATTGCGAAAGGCTAAGTTCAGCGGTCGACCCAATCTACCCGTCAGGATAGGTCTGAGACTCTAACAGACTTTTTGGAAACGGCACATAACGCGATTTCTTTGCAAACTCGGCCTAGTGATCGGGGAACTGCTGAGTTCAAGTACTCACAAGTTATATTCACATGGGAGCAAGATGAGAGCGTCCCCGAACAGTTGTTGACAGCTGCTATCTCACGTTCTATTTGCGGCTGCCCATCAGGACCTTGCTGCACTCCTGAGGTCATGAAACTTCAGCTTCTGAGAATCATATCTTCCTGGGCTCCAACGACTGTGCGCCGCAGAGCTGAGATGAAGGGACGGAGTCCGCGGGGAGCGATCGAGAGTCTTCGAGATCGACCTTCGACACAGAGCAAGCCTAGAATCGATTCTCTGGTTAATTTTGGTGCCTCCAGTGTGGACCAAGTTCAGAGGTTGTAATTTTTCCTCGTAGTGGTTGCGCGATTTTGCTCCCTTAGACTGCTCAAGGCGTGAGACCCCCCAGCAGCAATATATCTCGGCTCACGTACGTGCCATGCTTTTCATTCCCGGACATTCATTCGACTTGATGTGTTGCACTCGGACGCCCTACAACATCGAGGTCCTCTTTGCTTTCGAATTGGAACCGTCCACAGCCAGGCCGCTGGGAATTGTTCATCGCTTTCATCCACCGATGTGCATAACTTAGACCGGCACAGTCACGAGAAGAGCTGATATTTGCGGAGTTTCGAGCAGACACAGAGTGGCAGTGTGGTCAACTCCTAGCTCTGTAGTTGGGAAGGATGCGGCACGGAGTAGGAACAACAGTCAGGAGCGCTCTTGAATTCGATCGATCGGGCCCAGTATAGAAACCAAATTACCATTTATGTTTTCTCTTCGATCAAGAGGAAGTCTTCCCACCTGCCCTCACCTCCGAGTCGGACTGGGGTGTTGTGCTCTTTATCTGATACTGATAAGTATTGACAGTCGGCCTCGCGTCAGTACCGCTCAACCTGACACGTGACAGTCGAGGTCATGTGAGGTTGATTGGGGTGTGAAGTCACACAACACCCGTTCTCTGATTGAATCCCCCACAATCTCCTGCGTCCCCTCATCCTGCGAAATACCCACTGTCATACTTACTCGACTCTACTAACGCTCCGACACGACTTGACTTACGAAACCACGAAACCACTAAATTCCAAACATGTCTGAAGCCGGTCAACGCCTCAGTCCCATTTTGATGCGTTCTGGCACCCCCGGTAGCTTTGTTCCCAAGCATTCGAAGTCCATCCTTTACTAAACTGATTGTAGGTCCGGCAGAGAAAGGTTAATAGCTGCTTGCCACCTCTCGTGGGCGCTCTCTGACTGCTTTTACCCTAGTGCTCCGCTATCTAGAAGGCATGTCCCGCGAAGGCGATGACGTCGACATTTCTCCCCCTCGGTCGCTCGCAGATGCTGAAGAGTACAACGCTACCATCCCGGAGATGCTGCGGTCCCCTGGCGTCCGAAGCAAGACCAGTCAGGCTCTGCGGGACTTGGCCAAATCACCTGTCAGCTACGACGATCGGTCTAAGGGTGGTGGCGTCGCGCTCGGCGGCGACAAGCAAACGCGCACGAGGACAGTGAACGGAGACGATGCGGCCTCGATAGAGCAAAACGGGCAGCGCTCAGAGTTTGGAGATCATCCTTTGCCTGTGGTGCGTCCCACTATTCTATTCACAAAAGTTTTTGTCTCAACTAAGTGGCGGGTAGCGTCAGCCCAGCTTTGAGCCAGGTCCGAATGACGACCCCGGTCCTCACTATCCTTCGTTCGACTCCGGACCCTCGTTCGGAAACTTCGGACCCATGCCCGACGATGGACCCTCCCGCACACCTATGTTCCAACCTACATGGACAGTACGTGCACCAAGCGTACAACCTGTACGACGGTTTTGACAGATTCAAAATAGCCTGACTGGGGGCATGCAGTGCCAGCGTATGTGAAAGTTCCCCTGCCTGAATCCAGGACAGGAAGCGTGAACGTTGATGGGGAGGCTGCGTCTCAGGCTTCGAAGAAGGCACACACGCAACGTACTGCTGTGAGGTGTTCTGGTACAACTATCGAAGTCAACTAATCGGTGTAGTCAAAGGCCCAGCAGAACGACGAACGTCCCTGGTCTCCCATGTCGAGTCGATCTCGCCTGACCAAGGCCACCGAGAAGGCCACTGCCTATCCTGCCTTGCCGGAAAGTCGTGTCGGTGAAGACGATTCTCCGCCTCGGTCCAAAACTGTAGGTTTCCTGCTATGACTTCTTCGTCTGCTGAGGTCCTTGCCAGCACTCTCCGCCGCCGCCGCAATCCCCATCACGGAAGGCGGAGCCGCTGTCGCCTCGAAGCGCCACTCGCAGCATGCAGAGTAAGCGAAATGACCATTCGCAGAAGCGTGATTGATGTGAGAACAGACCCTCCGCGTTCTCCCGGCGGATCCATGTTCTCTGGCGGGCATCAGAACAGACCGTTTTCGCCCTATCGGCACGCCCCTACCCACGAGGACCTTCTGCACGCAGCGGTCCGGGGGCGTGCATTTATCCCGCCAGATCTAGACCAATCCGCAGCCGAGCCAGCCTTACCACCTCCGTCAACGACGACTCCAGTGATGAAAGCCGCCTCCGTCGCTCGCTCTCAGTTCTCTGCGCAATCACCACTGCCTGTCAAAGCCCCATCGATTGCCTCGCACAGGACCGGGAGCACAGCCACACCTCTCCAACGGCCGTACTCCCCGAATGAGCTTAACCAAGAGGAGGAGCAGATCGTCCAAGATACACTTGCAGGGAGAACCCCTCGGACGTCCCATTATGCGCCGTCGGTCTTGGGCTCGGATGTCGTCAACTCCCATTTCCACGACATGGACCTCTGCGTTCTGCTGCACCAGGAGAATGACCCCACCGTCCACGATGTTGTCAAGAAGGCTCTTCGCAAGGCAATCCGACAGCGTGTCAAGAAATTGGGCATGAAGCACGACACCGAGGTACGGGATCTCCCACCATCTGTATTGTATTGCTCAACCTGTGCAGTCAATCAGACAGTACCGAAAGGCGCATGACCATGATCCCAGCGTGCATTTGTCTCAAGAAGATCTGGTAAATTCTTTCATATTACCCAATCTGTTCGGCAACTGAACTGGCGTATAGGAAGAGCCTCCGAAATGGGCAGCCGACATCAAGCGTGAACTTGTTCTGATGCAGCAGCGGATTGAAAGTCTCGGCCCGAAGATTGATGGGCTCAAGTCACCGAGCGAGGGCCATTCCAAATTGGACTACGAGGAGGAGGAGCCTGTCCAATACAATGAGACTCCGCTCACTCGCACGGTCAATATCCACACTCAGCCGACTGGGACCCTGGCCGAGTCGTTATACCAGCACCCAGAAGAGGAGCATGTCATCCTCGAGGAGGACGAGGTCAACGAGGGATCTGACGACGGGACCGAGAAAGAACCGATGGGATCGGATGCCCTTTCTCAGCAACATAATCTCCTGCCTCGTGACGAGTCCCCAGGCCACCAGCATTTCGAGGAAGAGCTGTACAAACTACGGCAGAAGCCGGCGGGAAGCAACCTGTCCTACGAAGTCGGGCTGGATGACGACGGCGATTACGACGACCGTAGTGGCGAGGGACCCAGTCCTACGGGCTTGCAGACGATTCCCGATCGCGAATCGAATGCCGATCGGGAGTCGAACGCCGAAGTCGCCAACGATGAAGCAGCTCCGCAATGGAATGCTGGTGATATCAGCCACGAGTCGCAGCCCCGTCTTCCGCCATGGCAGCTGATCCACCAACGGCTGCTTACGTGGGCCATCATTTGGCCTGCGAGCGACCTGGATACAGCACTGAACAGCACCACTCGCGGGCAGCAAGTGAACGAAGTCGCGCTGACGATCTGGTCCACTCAGACCTACAAGCGCTATGTGCGTGCCAAGTTGACGGACAGTCCGCAGGGCCTGGTCGACCGCCTCTTCGTTCCCCCCAATGTCGCTGATGCCATCAGCAATGCTGTGTTCAATGGTCGACACGGCGATGCGTGTGGCATGCTCAGAGACCTGTGGAGTCCGTTTGGTCTGGATGGGATGCCGAGGTTAATTGTGGTGCTAGCCAAACATCGCACAGACCCGAACCACTGGGTTGTGCACAGGTAAGGATAGATTGTGCTGTTCTTTGCCCTGTGCTGAACGCTCTCGTTAAGGTTCTCCCTTCCTGAAGGTGCACTGACGACATACGATTCGTATCCGGAGCGGACTTTGCCGGACGGACGGGTGCGTCGTTACTTCCACTGTCTTGAATAATCTGTACTGATTGTTCTCAGCCGCTGGGCTGGTGGTTTGCCATCCGCGTTGCCTGGCCCAATGCCAATTACCCCAGTCCAGACAATCTGATGCAAAAGATGGTTCGGCTTCACCGGCCCTTGCAGCTGGCCATTGACAACTCGGTCGCTGCCTGTGGACTGTGGAGGAACATCCTCATGGGCTCCCGAGCTGAGCGCAGCCTGGATTTGGAGAGGCTCAGAGATTTGATCAACACTGAGGTCAAAAACCTGCGGCAGAAGAAACAGATCGGCAAGTTGTCCATTGCGGGACCTCGGCCAGTCTGGGACATGCATTAACATTTACCAAATATATTCGCGCGATACCTTTACCTATAAATTCCCGCCCTGCTGTTGTATCTACTCTTAGCTGTATAGTCGACTCGATATGTCTTTCTTTACAAATCGGATTTATTGTGGCTGTGGATAAGCTGTTGCCTGTGTTGACCTCGTCACGCCGTCGTGACACGACGTCTCCATCCTTGTCCATAGCATTGACAATAAACCGCTTTCCATGTCCGACGCACCGACTCTGAGTATCACCATGTTAGGTGCGGGCCAGGAAGTCGGTCGCTCCTGTTGTGTTCTACAGTACAGAGGGAAGACTATTGTCTGTGACGCCGGCGTGCATCCCGCACACGGTGGAATGGCCTCGCTTCCTTTCATTGACGAACTCGACTGGAGTACGGTAGACGCATTGCTCATTACCCAGTGCGCATGCCCTCCTGTTTACGCGTGTCCTTGATCTAAATTGCTCAGTTTTCACCTCGATCATGCTGCTGCCCTCACGTATATCACCGAGAAGGTGAAACAGGACAGTCCTTCTCCTTGCTGCGTCTAATATGTATCTATAGACCAACTTTCGGGAAGGCAAAGGCAAAGTGTACATGACCCATCCGACAAAGGTCCTTCACAAGTTCATGATGCAGGACTTTGTGCGAATGAGGTGAGCATATTTGTTAGCTGGTATGTCGAGTAACCGATGTCCCTGTAGCTCCACCTCCTCCGATGCCCTATTTACTCCGATGGACATGGCAATGTCTCTATCTTTCATCACCCCCGTCTCCGTTCATCAGCTGATAACACCATGTCCTGGTGTGTCGTTCACGCCCTATCATGCAGGACATGTGTTGGGGGCCTGCATGTTCCTGATCGACATCGCGGGTCTCAAAATTCTGTACACGGGCGACTACTCTAGGGAGGAAGACCGTCATCTCGTGAAGGCAGAGCTGCCCCCCATTCGTCCGGATGTCTTGATTGTCGAAAGCACTTATGGTGTGCACAATCTGGAGAGCCGTCCGGATAAGGAGCTGAGGTTCACAAACCTGGTTCATTCTATCATCTCACGGGGCGGCCATGTACTCCTCCCTACATTTGCGCTCGGTCGTGCCCAAGAGCTGCTGTTGATTCTGGACGAGTACTGGAAGAAGCACCCGGATCTGCACCGTGTACCGATCTACTACGCCTCAGGTCTTGCCCGGAAGTCTATGGCGGTATATCAAACTTACATCCATACCATGAATTCGAACATCCGGTCCCGATTTGCTAAACGAGACAATCCTTTCGTGTTCAAGTGAGTCACATGCACCTCTACACAATACTGGCTGGCTGATGGACTTCCAGGTACATCTCAAACCTTCCCCAAGCCCGTGGATGGGAGAAGAAGATCGCGGAAGGACCCCCATGCGTCGTCTTGGCCAGTCCTGGATTCATGCAAAGCGGACCAAGTCGAGAACTGTTCGAGCTGTGGGCACCAGACTCGCGGAACGGGCTGATCATCACGGGCTATTCGATTGAAGGAACCCTAGCTCACGTAAGTGGAACTCACCATCCTCTTCGTACATCTGTATTGTATTGCATCAATGGATATGTTTTCACCCCACGGGGATCTGAGCTCATGGATTTCTCAGGATATCGTGAATGAGCCAGAGGAAGTCGAATCCGTCAAGGGTGGCATGATCCAGCGCAAGCTGTCCGTGGCCTACATCTCGTTCAGTGCTCATGTCGATGGCGCTCAGAACGCAGAATTTATCGAGGCTGTTCGAGCACAGCATGTGGTGAGTCATCCGTCTGCAGAGCGAGCGGCTTGGTGTTTATTGCTACTAGGTTTTGGTGCATGGGAAGCAAGATGCGATGGCTCGGTTGAGAGCGAAACTGACGTCGCAGTACAAGGAGCGGGAGGAAGATGTGAAAATCCACACCCCGCGCAATCTAGAAACGCTGGAGCTCTCGTTTCGCAGCGATCGGGTGGCGAAGGCCATTGGAACACTGGCTGATCAGGTGCCGCGAGCTGGGGACGTGCTGTCGGGTCTGCTGGTGTCCAAGGACTTCTCGTACACGCTTTTAGATCCTCGAGATCTGAAAGACTTCGCGGGTTTGTCCACCTGTTCGGTGACTCAGCGGCAAAAAATAACCCTCGGAGTACGGTGGGAGCTCGTCAGATGGCACGTGGAAGGCATGTTTGGGGGCCTCGAAGATGGACTGGACGCAGACGGCATCCCTACGCTCAGGGTAGGCGCATGTGTCAATTTCGAAATTCCGCTCAATGCTGGACAGATTATGGGCGCTCTCGATGTCAAGTTGACCCAGGAGCATGAAATCACGTTAGAATGGGAATCGAGCGCCAGTAATGACATGCTCGCAGACTCGACGCTGGCCCTGATATCAGGCATTGACCATAGCCCTGCTTCAGTGAAACGTGAGGTCGAGGCGGATACCTACATGCTTGGCGCTAACGCGCCTGACAGTCACGTCGCATTCCCACGTTCACTCCCACGCAAAGCATCCCCACGCTCAAACTGACGACCACAGCGTCCGGATTCAGCGCATCGCATGGTTTTTGGAAGCCCATTTCGGGGATGTGGAATTTCATCGACCAGAAGATGCTGAGGAGGATCCAGAGCAAGGTGAAGACGAGAAACCGGCGGAACCGTCGATGCTCGTTCACCTCGATGATACGGCCGCTCGAATCAACCTCGTCTCTTTGGTGAGTCTTTTCGGCTACGCCTAGACATACGCTCTGATTGGAGAGCAGAGTGTTACGAGCGAGAGTGAGCCATTGAAAAAGAGGGTTGAGGCTGTATTGGACATGGCCGTGACCACTGTGTCCACGTTGGGAGAAGCTTTCGTTTCAAGACCATCTGGCTTTGGATCTGCAGAAGTTGTCAAAACGGTCCAGTCCAAGGGGGGCGACCGAGTCGTTGACGGCGAAGGATCTGAAGGGGATTCTATGCAGCAGGTCCATGATTAGATTAGATAATCTACATATGTAATGTCGGCTCCGACACCCTGTCTTGCTTAGTGAGCGGCCTACTGCATTGGCGCATGTATCGTATATGACTTGGTTCAAACCCATCTTTCGACTCTCCATCCAAATGTGTGCTATGCCTGCCCGACGCTCCTCCACGCGCATAGCTTCGTCTGAATCCTCTGCATTGAAGCGTAAAGCAGATCCACCGCCCAAGACCACCAAAAGAGCCAAACGTTTGCCGGACCCTGTTTCCGACCCCGCTGCCATAGCCCCACAAGTTACTGAGGAAGTACACATCTCCGAGAATACTGTTGTCCCGGCAGATGAACTTCTCACATTCTCCTTCGAAGAGGCTCGGAAGCACTTGATACGGGCGGACAGCCGCTTCGAAGACTTGTTCGATCGGCTTCCTTGTAAACCATTCCAGTTTCCTGAGCAACTGGATCCTTTTAGGCATGTTGAGTGACATTCTTGTGGATTTCTCTCTCAACCCCAGGCAAGGTCGTTGGCTACCTCCAGTACGGCGGTGTCATGAGACTGGAGAGGAAGCGCTCACCCAAGAAGTCCTAGGTCAACAGATCTCCTGGCTTGCAGCCCGCTCAATCACACACAAGTTCATACGGCTTTACGATCCCTCTATTCCAGAGAATCGTGCGGACTAGTCCGTGCTCCGTCTCTCGGTGCGACAGACGAGTTCTGACGCGCGCTGATAGCCTCAGCGAAGCCTTCTTCCCCACACCCCAGCAAGTTGTAGGCACAGAAATGGCACGCTTGAGAACTGCGGGACTGAGTGCTCGGAAAGCAGAGTACAGTAAAAAAACGCTTCATCTCTGCCGCCATGAGCGGATACTCACATGTTTCCAGTTCTTGACTTGTCGGCGAGATTTTCAGATGGTTAGTGAGACGAAAGGCTACCGGAAAAATTCAAAATTGCTGCAGGACGTCTTTCGACCGATAAACTGCTTAAGTGCACTGATGAAGAATTGGCTGAGATGCTGCTGGAAGTTCGCGGTATTGGCAAGGTAAGCTACAGTCTTTGACTCCCGTGCATGAAAATAAAGGTGTGATACGTAGTGGACCGGTGAGTAAGCTCAGCCCGAGGTTGATTTGCTCTGAACACCTGAAAAGTGGACATGTTCGCCCTGTTCTCTCTTCGTCGGGCGGACATATTGCCGGTCGGCAAGTCATCTTGCATGCAAAAAGGCGTTTAGAACGTGAAACTCATACGGTTTCCAGGTGATTTGGGTGTTCAGCGCGGGCTTGTGCGCTGGGCGCTAGCGCAACACTCTCCGACTTATTCATACATGATATCACCCGAGAAATTGCCAGCGTCAGACAAGAAACCAGAGGTTTCGAAAGACGACGATGTTCTTCCCAGTTTCACTGAAGATGCGCGCGCTATCCCTTCTCGTGTTCAAGATGAAAGCGCGTCGATTCCGATTCCGCCGATATTTACACCCTCGATTAACCGTACATTGACTCGGCCCACTTCTACCTTGGTGCCTCTTCCCGAAGGACTCACCGCTGCAGAACTCAAAAGTAGATTGAGCGGAAAGAAGAAAGTCAAGTACGTCATTTCTTATTAAACTCGGCTGCTGTGATGGATGAACTTGTCGCCATTTTCCCAGAGGCGCCTTGTTGTCGCCGGCTCACATGGAGGCTCTGACCGAGAACTGGCGACCGTACCGCAGCATAGGTCAGTAAAATGGCCCAGCATCACCCCAACTAATTTCTTCAAGGTGTTTATTACATGTGGTGCCTGTCGGATGCGGAATGATGGCGGATTCAATCATTAATGTTACCTATATACACGTGACCGTGACTCAACGCGCGCCACTTTTGTTCTCTGCAAGTCTCCTCCATCGAAGCTCCCTTGTGGGCTTCTGCTTCTCCAGAATTGGGCAGCAGAAAGAGCGAGCAATCTGTTTCTGGCGTTTTTCTCGCAACGCTTCTACCTCTCCTCATGCGGACCTCCAGCTCTCGTCGCTCGAACCTGCAGCCTCTCATGATACCCGAGCTCTTAGCTTCTTCTCCGAGGGAAGCTGGATACCACTCGCCAGCCGAGAGTGATAGCTTGCAGACCCCAACACCTATATACGACCACGGCGAGATTCATCTCCAGTTCAAACATGTGTCACAAGACCATCTCTCTCCGCGCATTCATCCGTACATACGCAAAGGACACTGCGATACTCCACTATCTCCTTCTCCTCTTCAAATCTTCCTCCCGTCCCCGAAAAGTCTCGAGCTTTCCTTACACGCGTCGCCGTCGTCCTCTCGTTCGGCGAGCTTCTCACTTCACGGATCGCTCTCCAGCAGCAGCGGCAGCTTTGTGAGATATAACAGTGAACCTCAGTCAGGAAACCTCCGATGCAAACACGCCAATCCTCGTGCTTCTTCTGATCCCGACGCTCGCACTAGTCGCACACCCCAAGAGCGACCATTGAACTTGAAGGGATCAGCCCATTCACCGCGTTTCCCTCCCAATCACGAACTCAATCCGTACTTTTTACGCGATTATCAGGTGATTAAAGTTCCATGCGGAACTCTGACGCTGAACGTTTTCTTGTAGCTTGAAGATGAGCTGGGCTCGGGAGGATATGGCTTTGTGATGACCGCTCTTCGACATGACGGGCTCGAGACTGCAGTCAAGTTCATCCTCAAGGAGAAGATTCCGGACCATGCATGGATGAATGATGAGGTGTGTCGTGTGTGTTCATCTATACTTGTGCTATTTGACAGAACGTTCCTCAAACAGGTTTTCCGTGTTTTGCCGCTAGAAGTGATGCTTCTGAGAGCGATTGATCATGATAATATCGTCAAATGCGTCGAAGTCTTTGAGGATCCGGTTTATTATTATCTAGTGGGTGTTTCTTGTATCAACAACCGCGCGCATTGACGACTAGCTCAGGTCCAAGAACTGCACGGCTCACCTTGGCATAAAGCTGTCCGTAACGGTCCGACGTCTCTGGTCAAATCCAGTGTTTGTGTTTTGTCGTCTTCCGTCTCTGTAGACTGCATGGCCAAGCCTCAAGGTTTTTCTGCTGACGGCCGCCAACTACATCAAAGCGCCGAGGATGTTCATCTCAAGCGGAAGACACCGGCTTCGCGTCCCGCGCTTTCTGTTCCCCGCAAGCCAGAATATTCTCGACGTCCCTCTTATGATCTTTTCGAATGCATTGAGCAGTCTGAGCACAAACGATTGCCTGAGTGCCAGGCTCGGTTCGTGTTGGCTCAGGTGGTCGAAGCTGCATACTATCTGGATATCCATGGGGTCACCCACCGAGATATCAAAGACGAAAACCTAGTCATTGACCGGAACCTCAAGGTATGCAGGCCTGTGGCATTGCGGCTTCCATCGCTGAGAATGCTTTTCAAGGTCAAACTTATTGACTTTGGAAGTGCCGTGGTCGAAGACCCGGAGACTCGCCCGTATCACACTCTATTTTTTGGGACCACGGCGTACGCTTCCTCCGAGATCTTGCTCAAGAAGCCATACCAGGCTCCACCAGCGGAAGTCTGGACTGTCGGGGTCCTCCTGAGCTTTCTTCTCACGGGATCATCGCCCTTTCCGACTGTCAAGGACGCCATCGACGGTCGGATTGTCCTTTCAGACTGCCCGAAGGACGTGTCGGCTGGGGCCTTGGACCTGATGCGTCTTTGCTTGGACCCCAACCCCAAAACCAGAGCTACCATCGGAGAGGTCAGGATCCATCCTTGGCTAAACTCGCACTAGGCTCGACCTGACAGACCATTATCATTATCCCATACTTTTATCAGCAGTTAGATACCCACATGCATCTGTGTAACCCTCCGCATCGTTTTGTAATAGCATCAGTCTCACATTGAATCACGTGCCCCCTCACATCTTCTCTCCGCTTCTGATGTTCAGAACAGGTAGATTGTCCAGGGCAAGGTAGCAACCGGTTTGACCCTTATTTTCAGCTGCATCTTTGGTGACGAGAGCATCCCTTCGTGCGCCTGGGGCGCTCTATGGTACACTATCATTGACCAGTCACTCGTCGGAACTGACCCGATTTACAGCTCCGCGGGCCTTGCACACGTCCTCGATAGTCAGGCAAGAACCTGCGCCCATCCCAAACCACAGCCTCTCCCCTACCGAACCCATCACAACCCTCGCACAACGTGGATCCAACCAACTCAGTCTCGAGACTCCGCAAAACAAAGCAGGTGCGGCCCACCAGATACTTATCGAAGCCAAGATACTGACGAGCTTGTTACCAGAGTATGTACTTTCTACGCTTGACAAAGTCGCAAACTGGGCAAGACAGGGCTCTATGTGGCCCATGACTTTCGGTACGGCATCTCATACCGCTTGCTGCAAACTTGTTCACCGTGTCCAGGTCTTGCGTGTTGCGCTGTTGAAATGATGCACATGGCTGCCGCCCGTTACGACCAAGATCGGCTCGGTGTCGTATTCAGAGCTAGTCCGAGGCAGAGCGACATCATGATCGTCGCAGGCACGCTGACGAACAAGATGGCTCCTGCGTTGCGCAAGGTCTACGATCAAATGCCAGAGCCCAGTGCGTAACATCACTTGTGAGATGAAGTGCAGGCATTTATGGACGCTCAGGATGGGTCATCTCGATGGGCTCCTGTGCCAATGGGGGAGGTTACTACCACTATTCGTATTCGGTCGTTCGCGGCTGTGACCGTATGTTCATTCGTCTAATTCCCTCAAGGTCAGGCTCTTATCTGCGCACAGGTATCGTTCCTGTCGATATCTATGTCCCGGGTTGCCCGCCCACGGCTGAGGCTCTACTCTATGGAATGTTGCAACTGCAGCGTAAGATGCGGAGAAGCCGAAAGACCGTTCTTTGGTAGGTTTTATTGTGCCTTGCCATCAAGAGTTTCACTGAAGAGCTGTTACAGGTATCGCAAGTAGGAGCATCCGCCGCCTGGAAGCATCCCTGTAGTCAAAGTAATACGTCGAGAAGCTCTTAGATAGGCTGTAGGACGGGCAATATACGCTTCGTTCCTCAAAAATGGATGACCAAATCAAATTCAGTTCGCATTTGGGTAGATTTTTTTGCGGTTCAGCGTGCTGGATAGACAGACGGCGTAGTTTGGGACAGCATAATTTGTGGCTGTGTGGCTGTGTCCAACCTACACTTGCCCGTCATGGCTGCCGTGCTACCCGTGCGCGACCTTCCCGCCGTTAACCCCTCGTCGTTCCACCGTATCCTCCTTACAGAAGCAGACTCCCGTTATCCATCCCCGAGAGCTTCTACGCTTCCTTCAGAACGATCCCGGGAACCCACGGATACCCAAAGAGGGACCAGAGAGCCTCAGCATTCAGCAACCGCTCCGCCGGATGCTCAAATGCAGTTTGCCGAGTCTTCTCGAAACGTGGCTTCTGCGTCACCTGCAAACCAACGAGACGTCGAGTCGTTCGACGAGAGTAAACTTTCCACTGCACCGTCTAGCGTTTCTGTAGACGTCCGTGTAGGTCTCGTCGATCGAGCACAAAGAGGAGTCTCTGGGCAGTCTCAACTGTCCCCAGAAATCCTCTCCCCACTTTCTGCGGCATCACCTCGTCATCCTGCTTTGGGCTCTGGCTCGTCGAGCAAACCATTAAATCCCGTTTACATTCCTCCGCCCATCATGCCGCTCTCCGCTTCTCCCGGCTACTCTCCTCCGGTTTCTGCCAATCCACGCGCATATGCCCAGCAGCCGACGTACATAACCCCAACCTCCCCCCAGAATCCAATAGGTCTTTCGTCACCACCTCAAGAAGAAGTCTGCGTCGAATGTGCCATGCGCGACCAAGACATGATTGACGTCGATGTGACTTCGCCCGGAATTTGGGAACGCGAGAGCGATGTCGCTTTCAACGACCTTCTGCGAAGAGAGCTGGAAGACGAAGCCAATGGGATTGTCGTCGAGGACTCGCCCAAGAGACCTCGTGCCCGGGGCGGTCGTCTCACGGAAGACAATCTTCGTTTGTGGTTGAGCATCGTACGTTCGCTAATTGGGACCCTTCTATTCTCACTTAATCAACTTTTCTTACAGAATCCCCGAGAACCAGCCTCTAAGCAGCAAACGCTGAAGAGCTACATCAAGTCACAGCGAACGTTGTTGGAAGCAGAGGCTCTGGCCCGTGCCCGTGCAATGCAGGAGGCCAAGCAGCTGGACAACCGGATGCGAGATACATATTCACAACTCCGACGATCTGCCTATGACACTGGGGCCAACTCTGGTCCGGTCGACGACTTTGGCGGGGTTCGCATCAAGTCACCTCAGTCGCCAACATCGATCCACCATCCCCGCTCTCAATCGCGAGAAGTCACGCTTCTGGAGAACGGTATGATTGTCGAGCACGTGGATGTTCGTAAGGAAGAAAAGGAGGCAAAAGAGCGTCGGAGAAAGGAAGAAAGGCGGGCTCGCAAGTCTTCTCGAGGGTCCGTCATCGATGTCAACTCCATCATTTCCGCCCAAAGTTACAGTCCGAATGACACTGGCCCCGGACTGTTGCCTTATTCCCGGTACTCGCAGGCCAGCTCTGCTCGGCCAACGAGCGTGCTGACCGCACCGCTGGACCGAACAGATCTTCCCAGGGCTTATTCGCAAGCCTCGTTCTCCGATGTGCATAGTCTAGGTTCACCGTCTCCGCGACGCAGCCGGTTCTTTGGAATGAAGAATTTGAGTGCTGGATGGATGAGCCAGGACAGCCTGGCTCCATCCGGTTTTTCAGGAAGTATGATGGACATGCAGTACGTTGTTTCCGTTTCTGATCGAAGTGCACCGCTTCACGTGTCTCTAGTGTGGCGCTCCAGAACGAAGCTCAGAGACCTCACGCCACTTCACCGATCGACGGGAACGCTCGCCGTAGCCAGCTCTGGCCGTCTGGAGAGGAAACAGTAAAGAAAAAGAAGAAGAAGGGTCTCGCCAAAATCTGGGGGCTGGTCACTGGGTCGTCGAAGCAAAACAACACGAGTGCATCTGCTGCCAGAGAGCCGTCGTCGTCGTACGATGGACCGGAAGACGACGGTCCGTTGGCCCCGCCGCCACCGTTATCTTATCTGGTCAACCGGGGCCGGTCAGGTGATGGAGCCAATGGCAGACATTCCTCTACGCCTTCACTGACGCTGACCTCGCTTGCGTCGCCTGCGGGTGCGTCGCCTTCCACCAACATCTTCCCCTCTCCATCGTCTTCACGTGATCCGGGCACAGACGTCACCCTGTCCAACGATGAGCTCGAGGAGGTCTCAAGAAACTCGCCGGCTGAGGCAGAGACCAGACGTGGCCCTAGACCCGATTCTGTTATGTCGTTCCGCGACAAATCGCTTCCTCCGCTGCCCATGGAAGCGTTCACGTCTACACCTGACGGTCGACCTCACACGGTAGTGGTCCCGGATTTCATGCCGCCCAGTGCGCCGTTCAGGACTGTAGAAATGCGGCGCCAGTCGTTCGGTGGCTTGGCATCGAGGCCTGTTCTCGGCTCCCAGGCGCTCCCGACGACCCAACCTGTTGCTTTTGATCAGCGCCGGCCGTTCGGGGCTCGATACGACGAGTATGGTCTGTCGCGACGGTCTCTGGGTCGATTGGACAACGTACAGGAGATTCGGCCGACAAGGACATCTGCGCCCAGCAACATGAAGAGGCGCAGTCGCTTTGGACTGTCCTCTCTGCTGGGCAAGAAGCAGACCAAGGACGACACGCCAGAGGAGACCCACCGCTTCCCCCCTCTCCGCCGCTCCGGCTCTGACGGTCCAGAAGACTTGACCACCGGCTACGCAACTTCGACGTCTAGACACAGCGCCTTCAGTCTCGGTGGTCGTGGCCCCCGCATTTCCGTGACCTCGCGGAAAGCCATCGAGGAGCTGGTATCTCAGGATGCCCAGTTTGTTGCCTACCGCTACCCGTCCAACGACCAGCATCTGGATATTTTGAGATAATCGAGGATAACAGTGCATCTACGACGGAAGTCTCTTTCTTACACGCTCAGTCATTGCTTACATTACACACACACACTCACACACACACTCACACTCATTCGCTTTGTTTTTGGCATGGTATTGGATAATTAATTGAATCAGTACAGCCCGTCGCACGAGCACGTGATTATCATCGTCACTCATCCCCGTTTCCTACGACTGCCGTTCTCTACTTCTCTTTGTCTGAGATCCATTCAATGGTATTGTCACGTATCGGGACCCGAAATATTCATTGCATCGTGTGCAGGCACCGCGCGGTCTTTCTGCAGAAGAGAAACGCGTCAAGCTCCTCGGTGTGTCCACAAGACCAGGATCGCTTCTTCACCGCTCAATTCACGCGTATTCATCAGAGATTTTTCATGAAAGTGTAAGTTGTTAGCTATCGATTTCACAGGAAAGCATGGTCTCGCTGATGTTCGCAGAAAGACTTTTATCAGGTGAGAGCATCGTCATCAGAACGTGGATGAAGGCTGAGCAAGTTCGAATGATAGCTCAAGGAACTAGAGAAGGTGTGTCGCACGCTCGGGATAGTCTCCTCGCTAAGCGATCAACAGCTTGGACCAAAGCTCAAGGGAATCGTCTCGCAGTCGGTGAAAGAGGTGTTGCAAACGCTCGTTGACGATGGCTTGGTCCAGGCAGATAAAATTGGCTCTTCTAATTGTGCGCTCTGTTCTATATGCGTGCAGAACATATGACCAACTCCACATAGTTTTCTGGAGCTTTCCTTCGCAACGGGGTGCCATTGTACGAGAACGCCGACGCCGACTATTAGCCGAGTCTATGGTGATTGACTTGCTTCGACAGGTCCAAGAGCGAGCGAGAATCCAGGACGAGACGCGAAAAGGATACGAGACACAAAAAACCGATCTCAAGAGACAGATAGAGACAGAGAAGGCAGCGAGAATAGACAATGTGCGGCCAGTTCCTAGAGCATGCGTTCAGGTCTCATTACTCTGGCGAAACAGCCTCATCGCAGGGAGAGGCTAGAATCACTGGCTAAGCTGAAACAGAGACACGTAGAGTTGCTGGATGAACTTGCGGCATACGGTGCTTGTGATCCAGTCAAAGTAGAGGAGACTCGACGGGCAGTGACACTAGCAAAAGAAGCGGCCATCCGCTGGACAGGTGCGAGTTACGCTCGACTCCGCCAAGGGACTAACATGATAGCCTGTTCTAGACAACTACAGCATGCTCTTATCCCATTTCACCCGACAACACGGTGTAGATGCCCAAGAAATTCGTCGGCATCTCGGTGTAGACGACGAGTATGAAGATGTCTGCTGAGGGGACCATGTGGAAAGATATTCGTATTTGACAGATAGAATCGCTCGATTCGCTCCCGCCGTCAGCTAAGATTGAAAGACTGCGCAAGGCGGCCGGTAAAGGTTGACAATTCGAGTAACACGGGCCTTGTGAACAAATGGAACGAGAAGACAAAGATGTTGACATCAGTATTGAGTTCCGGCCCGGACCGGATGCTTCGAGTTGCCGCTTCGTTCGGGACAGGCCAGCACCCAACCCCGCCCCGTCATGTCCAGCCCCAACTCAGTATCCAATGGCTCAGAAAATGGGTCGAATCTCAAACGCAGACGAGTGGAGGATGCTCAAAACTCTCATATTCCTAAGCGGGGGGCACGGTGAGACCGCAATTTCCCACACAGCCAAGCCAACGCACTAATCGTCTTCGCGCGCACTGCCAGTGCCTGCACGGCCTGCCGCAAGGGCAAGAACCGATGTGAAGGGTTTGGCGAGAACGAGGTGGGTTTTAAATCCGTACCGGCTCACCCGCCCCGCTGCCCACCGCCCGCGCGGCCCGGCTGAAAATTACCCCACATTCTCACTCACAACCCTCGAAGGGCCCGTGTCGTCGATGCCAGCTCAGCAATACTCCATGCGTATTCGAGAAACCCGAGAAAACGAAAAGCGCTCCCGTCATGGCGACGCCTGGTGTCGAGTACGTGTTGAAGAACTCGGGTGTGCGTAGGTTCTGATGAGTCCTTGCAGGCGTTTGTCTCGACTTGAGGGACAATATCTTGTGCGCTATCAGTATGTTGACGGCTCAGAAGATTTACGTCTTGTCATAGGTCATGCAAAGCCAGATGATTGGCATGCAATCTTCTTTAGATCGCATATTGCTTGCCGTACAAGGCCAGGCGCAAGGGCAAACCCAACCAACACCGTCTGTCTTTCCGGGCCGGAACGGGTTCGACAGTCCTTCGAGCGGCGCATCTGCATCTCAACGCCGCGCGTTTCCCCCGCTTCCTGGATTTGCCCCACCTGTGAGCTATTGTTAGACATGCTCGACCGCAATACTTACTTCTCAGCCGCACAAATATGCAACGTACGGGATTGTGCCGAGCACAGCTCCATCCTCTGAAGATGAATCCGAAGACACGCTGCCTCGGTCCACGTTGAACGCGCCCATTGAAGCTCTGCAAGGGCTAGCGAATGCGGCGGCTGAAGCAGCGGCTGTGCCATCGACGTCGACACCGCGAGTGAAAAAACGCAAGCGCGCCGAGCCCATACCGCGGAATGCGTTCCCCCATGTGGTTGAGAAGGTTTGAATCGTCTGCGATAATGAACGGTGGCTTATGGCCATTTACAGGGTTTGGTGTCCGATACAGAAGCGAGGGAATTATACAACATGTGAGTCCCATGCCACATGTCCCGCATAACCACTGACTTGTGTCCAGTTTCTTTGCGGGATGCCATCTGTTCATTCCACTATTCGATCCGTCGTATGACACCTACGAGAGCTTGATGGAGCGCAGTCCATGGACTTTCGACGCAATTCTCGCTGTCGCTGGGAAGATTCGCAGTGGAAATGGACCACTCAGCCCGACCTTCTACAGATGTCTCGAGGAAGCGCAAGGAATTGCACGGTCCTCTCTTTTTGGTCCCGTAGTGCGAAAAGAGGCCGTTCAAGGTGCCCCATGATGAGTCCGATATCGACTGTGACTAATGTCGCGTGGCAGGCATGTTGCTCCTTGCAGCTTGGAGCACCAACGGATGGCTGCCGAGTGGACATGCCATGAGAATGGCTCTCGACCTAGGCCTGCATCGAGCGCTGGAAAAGCTGGCGGATGAGTCAGGAAAGCAGCGCACCGAGGAGGAAGAAAGAAACCTTGGTATTCTCTGATTCGACAGGCGCCCGACCGGATGGATGCTGATATCGATTTCTAGTTGTGTCGGCAAGGATATGGCTTTGTCTGTATTGGTTCGATCACCAGTTCGTCTGTCTCAGCTTTCCTGCCTAGAGATCTCTCACGTGTCCAGGATGAGCTTGGGAACGGGCCGGCCAATCGTTCTCCGGGACGAGAACTCGATTCGTCACTGCCGCCTGTTGCTCACGCATCCCATGGCATCACCAACCGATGTCAGACTCATTGCACAGGTCGAGTTGATTGGTCAGAAGAGTGAGCCCGATCGCACCGAGTGTAGCTCGTGATATAAGCTGACATCGGAGCAGCTCAGATCTACGAAACGCTTGCCCCGTTGAACGGCCAGGTTAACCACAGTACCCTGGCCTTCATCCGGCGGGCCAATGTCGCGCTCGACAAATGGTGGACGGATTGCGATGAGCTCCATCGTAAGCGAGCGGGAGATTGTTGGTATATGTTTATCTGACTCGTGCAGGGCAAACCATGGATGAGAACTCGCTGTTGCGCAAAGTTTTGGCTGGCGAGCTGCACTACGCCAAGTTGTGGTTGGTTTGCGTCGCTCTCCGCGGCGTCGCGTGGGACAAGATGCCGTTCGAGCAACGGGAGCTGGCATTCCAGGCAAAGGATGCTGCTTTCACTTGTCTCTCTATATTCCTCAATTCTCCCGAGTATCGGTCAGTTCTGCTGTCTGCGGGCTATATCGATTTGACTGACTTCCTGTCCAGCGCTGCTCTGCGTTATGCTGTACATGATAGCTTGGTCACAGCTGCCTTCTCTGGGCTCTTTCTGTTGAAAATGGCCAGCTTGTTTCCGACGGAGCTCGACCTCTCAGCGATATCTGCTCAAGTAGAACAACTGGCTCAGTTATTGAGTGATGTGGCTGCTGAACGGTGTGTTTTTCGCTGCTTACAGGCGTCATTTTCATGCCTCGTTGTTAGCTATGCTCTCACCCTGCGCATCATGCTCGCCAACCTTCGGCGTAAAGTTGGCATGGGCAGTGGCATTAGCACTCCGGTGCCGACTATGCCTCCGCCTCCTTTGTTGGCTGACGGGCGGTTCATTGTGTCTCCGACGACGGCATTTTCCGATCCCACGATGCCTCCGCCGTTTACGCTGGAGGAACTGGGCTTCAACTGGCCTGCGGATCGCGGAATCTTCAGCCCTTCGGCGATTCCCGTGTGGCTCCAGGAACAGGTGCCCTCTTTTTCCATACCGTTGTCCCGTAGCCCATATTAGTACAGAGCCTCACGGACCTTGGCCTACCTCAAAACGGAAGTGACGGTGTGTTCCTCCAGCTCACCGGTACCAACGGATGGACCGGCGACCTCACAGGTATGCCCGAAGCCTGGTGAATTTCTCGAATATATCTATCTCTTGTAAAAAGTGCAGCTTTCTTGTACTACCAGTACCTACGGACATTATGTTGTTGTTGGCATCACGTGCTTTGTCGTGACAGTGACAGTGACCACACGCGTCCAAGAGTCTCTTTCCCTCCCTACCACGCGTCCCGACCGCGCCATGGCCAACCAAACGGCGACAACAGTGGGAATTGCATCAGTTACATGCCTTGCATTTGCACCGAACGGCTCGTACGACCTCATATCGCGATACTTGATCATCCTAGCCAACCCATTGGCAGACGCGTTTTCACTGGGAGCGATGACCAACTTATACGGATATGGGACATGGAGAACCTCGGATCCGAAGCAGAATCCACCGGACTCATGGCAGAAGCGAACAAAGCAATCACCTCTCTATCTATCTCTGTGCGTCTCGTACCAGCAGTCAGCGCCTTTGCCGTCTTACGGACCGCAGGACAAATTCCTGATTTCTACGAGTGAAGACGCGGAGGTTAGGCGGTACAGCATCGCGGGAAATCACCTTGGGCTCATCACGAATACGGCATGCCCAGCCTGGTGTGCTGCTATAGACCCGCGGGGGAAATTCGTGGCTGTTGCATCCGAGTGCGTGACTCTCCTCCCCTTTCGCCCTGCACTGGATATGGAGGCATGCACAGCGAACCTACCGTGCGATTGATCGACACAGACGACGTTTCGAACGTTCGTCTACTCGCAGGACATGAGCGTGGTGTCCGAAATGTGACTTGGCATCCCAAGTCGACGCTACTCGTGCGTGTGACTGTAATCGGTCCGATAATCCTGTCAATGACATTCAAACGTAGGCGGCAAGCGGCTGGGACGGCAATCTCACGCTATGGGATGTTTCGGAGGATCCGCCGCAGAAGGTGGCGACTGTGGACCATCTACTGCCGCCATTCAAAGATTCAGTGTGAGCTGGTCTCAACGTGTCTGGGACGCTGTGTTGAGGTGCCTTTAGAGTAACGAAGGGCTACAACTATGGTGCTGTGTGGCATCCCACAGGAGAATACTTCTTTGTCCTTTCCAAAGCCTATGGTGTGTGTGTGTAGTCTGTCATGCAAATGACATGTACTGACCGAGTGATTGGTAGGGGTTGTCACTGTTTCGAAGCGACTGGGCTGGAAGAAAGACAGAGAATTCTCGGGGTCAGACGGACCTACGACTGCTATCTCAGTGTCGCCAAATGGGTTGTATCTGGCATCTGCGTCCAAGAGCCAAGTGCAGATATGGGATATCAAGCAGGGCAAAGTCATCACATCGTCAGTGCGACGCTAGCGCCATTGCTACTCAGCACTCATGATTGGACAGGCATGGTAATCAGTGCGACGATGAGGATACGTCAGTCCCAGCGCTTGCCTTTTCCCCCACGGCCAATACAGTCGCTTGGACCACGACTGGTGGCAAATTGATGAGATGGACGGACGCTATTCCGCCAAGCTTCCCTGATCCATTCACGCATGTGGATGCAACGGCAGCTCTCACGGCGATCCTTCCACACAAAGAGGATGATCTGGACGATTTGCTTGGCGATAGTGGGTTCGAGGATCTGGACGTTGAAGAGCAGGAACAGCCGGAAGATGATGTCCACGGGTGGATAGACGAGGACGAAGATCTCGGGCTGGACAAAAACGATGGCATGGTGCGAGAGATGGGTGAGTGCTTGCTGTATCTCAGTTATGTGGGAGTCTGACCACTGGTAGTGAGTATCACCAAGGCACAACCGGCATTTCAGCCAGGAGCCGCCAATCTCTCCCCCACAAAACGTTTGCTGGGTAATGCACGCGTTTGTTGTCCGTGAGTATGACTCTAAATGACTCTACAGCCTATAACAAGATAGGATGGATCGAGGTCACTGTGATAGCGGACCAAGTTTACCATATGCTGGATGTCAAACTTCATGACAAGTCCAGGAGGGCGGACATGTCCTTCCGGGACGACTACAAGTATCATCTCGGTTATCTTGGTCAGTGGCAAATCATACGCATTCAGATTATCCACCATTGATCAAATCCTTTGCAGGCGAACGGGGAGCTCTATTGGCTTGTTCAGAGTCAGAAAGCAGTCCCGCACAAGTCCATTACCGGCCGTTCCATCCAAGCACCCAAATTCAATGGACATACAGCCTCCGTCCTCAGACCAGGGTTCTCGGCATCGCGGCTGGAGGCGTCCCGCCCACGGCCGGATCAGATGATATGGATGAGACGGACCTGAATGGCTTTGGCAATGTCGTTGTCGCCACGTCTGAGGGTGACCTGACGTTTTTGAGCGGCACTGGCCGGGAAAGGCGTGTACTTGGACTGGGTGGTGACTTTGTGGCCATGGTCGCGGGTGACGAATGGGTGTTTGTTGTGCATCGAGCTGGCTCGACGACTATCGATGGTCTGTCTTCGGATCGAGAGGGCTGCAGTCGAGCTGATGCTTGGATACAGGTTCTCAGAATCTGTCTTACTCGCTGTTCAACTTTGAGGATTTCAGTGTGCGCCAGCGCGACTTTCTTCCGATTCCGAAAGGGCACCAATTAACCTGGGTTGGCGTGAGCGAGGAAGGGGTGCGTCAATTTGACTCGTTCTGATAATCGAGCTCAAGTTTTTTGCCAGGCGCCTTCGATGTTCGATACGACGGGGCGGCTCCATGTGCTGGTGAAGCACCGAATACCTCATCATGCATCCTGGGTCAGGGTGATGGACACGAAGATCGCGAGCACTGAATTCAAGGGCACATATTGGCCGATTGCTGTCTACGGCACGACATTCATGTGTTTCCTTCTCGGTGTACGCTCTCTCTTGGCTCCGTCTGGAACCATCTGATTTCAGTCTAGGGGTCAAAAACGCTTGGGTATCCTCTGCCACCGTTCCAGGATATACCAATGCAGATGCCCTTCAGAAGCCAGGACCCGGCCGACGAGCGATTGGAAATGGACGCGCTCATGATCGAGCTGAAGAGAGACGCGTTGGACGAAGAATTGACGAGCGAGGATATCACCAAGAGGGAGCAGGCCATGGACAAACAGCTGGTGCTGCTGATCCAAAATGCCTGCAAGCTCAATCAGGTCCCTCGGGCGATCGAACTAGCCAAGTTGATTCAAAACCCTCGTTTCCTCGACATGGTGATCAAGGTGGCTGAGTTCTACCGCTTCACAGCTATGATAGAGAAAGTCCGTGTGCTCAAGACCGCCCGCGAGCAGAGCGAAGATCGCCTCGTTCTCGCTCGGGAGAAACGCAGACAGTGGACGCGGCCAGACCCGGTGCCCTACTATCTCGCCCCAAAAGCAGAGAGTGATCCCCCGCGGCCTAAGGCGTTCCAAGACTTTGGGCCGCCTCCGACTGTATCTCGACCCGGACTGGCACCGGCCACAGTGGCGGTCGAAACGACACGCTACCCGTCAAGCTCAGAGCCGCGGATGCCGCCTCCCGCCATTCCGCCACCCGAAACCAAGCGCAAGAGAGATGAGAATGAGGAGGAGAGCTCCGCTTCCACCGATTTCATCGCTCCGCCTCCCAAACAGAGTGCGTTGTTGCGACAATTGTGCTGGTATTTCCGCTGACCTGTTTGAGCAGAAACGAATCCATTCGCCCGAAAATCGGGGCAAGAGGATGGCCGGAATCCGTTTGCGCGAAAGGGCGAAGCCGCCAAGACGATACGCAAGAGCGAGAGCTTCTTTGAGAAAGTAGATGCCGCGGAAGATGCACCGCGGACAAAGCGTGAGTTTGCTATCCATTCAGAGGATTGATCATTGAGATGGTTCCAGGGCCGCCGAAAGACAAGAAAGATGGACCCAAACAGGCGACGCTGTTCAGCATGATGGGAAGTTCTGCGAAAAAGAGCCGATTACCAGTGTCCAGCCAGGTGACCGAAAGCGACATCACAATGTCAGACGTCACGACGGTCGACAGCCAGACGGAGTTGCCAGAAGACTGGGAAGAAACGCAACCGCTAGAAACACAGGTGGAACCAGTACGTCCGCGATGTGATGCATGTGCGCGAAGAATTGACCGATGAATAAAACAGATCTGATTACGTCTATCCTCCCCTCTCTTCGTCGAGTCCGAGTGCATCTGTAACTGAAAGATCCTGCAAACAAATGTGTGAGAGTTTGATGTTGGCCCAGAGACACGTACTTCAGGTGCAAACGGCCATTGATTGAAGGCATTTACAAGCACCTCCCATTCCTGCACAGTCAAATCCCGCACAGCCGTTTTTGGATCCACGCGCACGCTCAAGTCGGGAGAGGTTATTGATTTTAGGAGGGACTTGGCTCCGGGCGCGAGATATCTAGAATCATCTTTGGCATAAGCAGTTTACTGGTACAAGAATGACGGACCCTATCGCTTTTTCCAATGGCGTCGCCCGCTGGACATACAAGTGCCGCAAACAATAGTCCCACGCATTCATCAGACCCGGCTTGATGACCTAACGCTGCTCTCAACATCACCCAGCTCGGCATCACCAGCGCACGAACCTGCTCTTCGTTGGGGACGATGTTGATGCCGACGAAGGGACTGCCGGGCCGCATGAGGTTCGCTTTCGTGTCCTTCTTCAGGACCGACGAGGCTCGGTTTGTAGGATGGAAGTGATCTCCGTACGGCTTCAGGATGTCGGCTTTGACGGCCATTGAGCTGAGCGATGTGGCTGCTGCAATCATGCTCAGTTTGCAGCGTATGCTTGCCTTAGTTCCTAGCATCCGCTGAACAGCCTTGAGAAAGCGAATCGGATGCCTTGTTTGGGAGAACACACGTTCCAGATGTATTCGTTCATAAGAAGGCTCATTGGCACGCGCCCGTACCGGAACAGCCAGTGCTTTTCTGGTATGTTGCGGAGAAGCTGGGAGATGAGCTGCTCTCCCGCGACGTTTGAGGTCAGATGCGAGACAAATTGCAGCTGGGGATGAACTGGTCGACCGGAAAAATGGTGAGATCAATCATAGGAATGCAGTCGACTCGCCTCCTTGATCCCATGGAACAATCGGGACGTCTTGGAGTACCCCCATCTCTTCAATCGCAGAATACGATGACCAGAGTTCTCCGGATAGCGGGTACACCTTGATTCGATCATCCACTTCCTCGAGAGGCTGGAAGCAGTGCGTTCAGTAAGCTCTGAAGGGGGAGAAACGAGGTCGGCCTCACTTGCAGATATTTGAGATACATGTCCGCATTTTCCAACACGATAATCTTCTTGATCCTTGCCCGAGGAAGAGCGAGAAGGGCGCGCGTCAAAGTTCCCCGGTCCAGGGAATGTTCGATGATGATCTTGTCTCGAGAGTGG